GTAATGAAAGGTAATGAAAAAGTCAGAGGTAGACAAGATGATTCTGTGATGCGAGGTCAAACAAAACAAAACACTTAATAAAGGACTGTGGAGCTGGAATTAGCCAGTATTGCTGAATGGGCCACCAGTGTCACAAAAGCAATATACTCACTGGGAGTTGGGGAACGTAGAATGTCAATGCAGTATCGAGCTAACTCCTCAACACTCCCTGGAGGCTGCTTAAAAGCTAACATTGCACCTACTGAAAAAGATTTATCCTGTATTCAGCTGCTATGTGTAAAAGAAAAGATGATGCTTCTTGAGGGAAGTGGCAAAGCAAGCAAACAAAATGCCTGTCACCCCCTAAAAAGAGCTGTCTCAAAATTATAGGCTTTCCTGAATGAAGGATGCAACCAGAGGCATGGGCATCTCCATGACATCTTTCACCCCAAATGAAAATATTATTAGAATTTAGGAAAAACTTTTACAGAAAATAAGTAAAATTTACCTGATCATTCAGAGCCAGGACCAAACTATTCATTATCAAAATTCCACTTAATGCCTGGGACTAGAATATTGGGTTTACAGGGAAGAGGCTGTAGGAAACCCTACCACACTGCCTTCATTCTGCACCTCCCTGCCAGGGAACTTGTTGGTGGAGATTATTGTATTTATCATTTGAATTAAGAAGAAACTGCAGTATCTTTCTGGCTTGGACTATGACCCTCCTGTGCTAGGTATTTTACAAACAAAAATTAACAAGACACTCCCTGTCCTCAATCACTTTTAATCTTAAAACAGATAACAGATGGATACAGGCAGATGGCAAAGAAAAAAATCGTGACTAGATCTGATCAAGAATGTTTTCTCATCAAAACCATGGTGATTGATAAGCTCTCCTTCAAAGAATTTGGATTTGACAGTCTTGAGAAAACTTTCGATGAAAAGTAAAGAACAGAATTTCCAGTCAAGGTAAGGGAACCAGCAGAGAATAATAATGAGGTTGTCACTTAAGTGGGCTGTAGTAGATCAAAGTTTAAGTGTTTTGTCTGAATTGGATATGATTTAAATCAGGCTTTCATACTTTCTGTGTGAATACTACCCTTTAACTTCATCTGGAAGAAGGCCCTGCTTATTTTAAATACACACACACATATATATGCGTATGTATATATACACAGACACACGCACACACATACACTGATGAAAAAGTCTTAGATTTGTCTCAGTGTAGAACAAGACTCAGGTTTTCTTGAGGAAACCACTTCCATTTTATGTGTAACCAAAGCTAGTACATGGAGAAGAAAGATGCAGGCAGGGAAAGTATAGCAATAAATTACCTGAAAGGCGAATATTTAAGTTTTGATCACTAACTTGGCTTCAGCACTAGTCTCAAACTGGCGTAAATTGTTGTAGCTCATCCAGCTACAATGGAGATGTTCCAATTTAAATCCTCAGGCATGGTCTTGGGGTCCACACTTAAATTTCTTTTGAAACATTGGACAAGAAGGTAGACTTGTAGTGAACCCTTACAGAGGAGTGAACTGTGGACTGTGTAAGGGACTTTCTTATGGATCGCTGTTATCAGAAGGGCGGAAGACTTCCTTCTGCTTTTTCTTCCTTCAGTTCTTCATCTCAAAAGAACATTATGTTTCCTCTTCTGAAAGGGACCTTCAACAGTTTTCAGTAGTGCCTCCTGAGTGTCCTCCATTCACAGCATTACACCGAGGAATTTAAACCGAGATGGTAAGAGGATGGCTTAGAAATGGGAAAAACGTTGCGTGCCATAGAAGAAATTATCTTTGTATTTAAAATTGTGTAAGAAAACTGTTTCTGTAACCTTCAGAGGGTGAAATCTCTGATGAACCAATATCAGACACCCAGTTAAAATGTTTAGCTTAACATGAAATAACCTCTCAAGTAATAATAATAACAACAACAACAACTTTATTTTTAGGATGTGTGCCATACATTGCTAAGGATGGAAAAAAAGAAACAGGGATCTCCCTGTCTCATCCCCTACAATTACCCAAAAGTAAAGTTATTTTAAGGCAAATTTTAAGCAGGAAATTTCATTTACATATAAATGTACATCTTATTCAGCACTAAACTGGCAATATCAAAGCTAATTGAGGGTAAGTACTAATTGGAAGTCTGATTTGCATAGTTTAACAGTGGAATAGTGTAAATATATGTTGAGATGCAAAATATAATGTGAATCTTAATTCAGTACTGGTATCCCTTTCATTGGTATATGGTTACAATCAATGAATATATCAGTGTTCCTTTTGTTTTGTCATATTGCAGTATTTTGTGTAAAATTAATTTTAGTACATTGAAGCTCCCGTAAAATAGTTTTATTCCTATTCATTGTGATTTTTTTTGAATGAAAACAAACATTTCCTGGCTTAGATTAGCTATATTTCTTACATATTTACCATGTTCAACATTTTATCGACTTAAAAATGTTGCTTGAATTTACTTCGTGACCTAATGGGTCACTTCACCATGAACAGTCATGCACAAGCTCGTGGAAATTTAATCCAAGCTTTGAATGACATTGTTTTGAACAAGAGTGTTTTCTTGCAAACCAGTTCTACTTCTGTAAGGTAGAATAGAAATAGAAACAAGAGTGAATCTTTTTATTTGTTTGTTTTATTTTGTTTTTGTCTTAACCACAGTGGAACAATCAGTAGTAAACAGTGAAGCTTTCTCCCCTAGCAGAGTACAAATTATTCATTAAGATGTCATAGCTGGTTTTTTTTGAGAAATCCATTTTTTGTGTTTTTCAGGCTAAAATGCGATTTGCCTCGTCGTACCTCTGTTTTTATTCAGTGTTTAAAAGGTTGTGGTTTGATAGGAAACTTTTTTTAGTTCTTAAAGATTTATGATTCTGTTTTAAAGATTATAAAAAATATTCTTGTTGCAATGAAAAAAAAAACCAACCCTTTCAGTCTTTATCTGAATTTAATTATCCCAGTAAGAAAAGCTTTAATTTTAACATTTCCTTTTAAGGACTGAAGTCTGTTTCTGTAATTTAGAAGTATGTCTTGTGAAGTAAATTAAAAACACCGTCAGTGTACAGAAAGAGGCACATAATGGGGAATGTAGGCATTTTTCCTATGAATTTATTCTCTGAATTTTGAATTGCTACTAATTTCCTCCCTATAAGATTGGAAATGGGAATAATATAATATCGTCTTTTCTCCAGGGCAGCCATTTAAATGCTGTTAGCAGGCTAAGTCATGTCTAAATACTTAACAGAAAGTAGAAGGAAAACATTGTGCTGACTAGAAGTAAAGATATTTAGTGATAACATGAGAAAAGACTTTAAAAGAAAAGTTTAACTCCTGAAAAAGAGAGGCTTTGGATTTTTGGAAAGAGCTAATCATGGGAACTTAACTAAAAAGTGACCTGAGTTTTATAAAGGAAGTCTTGATTGACCTGCTCCCTCTCCACGTCATGGAGTCTGTCTTGCTTTCCCTCTTTCTCCATTCAGTTTCCTTCTGGCCCTAAAGCATGCCTCTCTCTTTATGTATCCTGCCTACATTTTTTTGAGACTTGAGATCCATGTAAGTTATCCCAGGTGACACTTAACTTACAGATAATGGTCAAAATCAGACAATATTAATAAAATTATTCTTATTAAATAATATTTATTCTGCCTCTGGAGAAACTTCTTCACAAGCTCTTCTTGCAGACAAATTGGGCTGGACTGGTTTCCTTAGTGTTCAGCCAATTTTTTTCCCCTAATATCATCATCACTGAGTGAGAGCCATGAAGTTTGATGACCCTCCATTGTCTTTTGGTCTGGGACTTACATATACCCAGTCCTACACACAGTGGCACATTTTGGGATACAACAATTTATGACTTGTACATTAGAAAATTCCCTGAACTGTCACAGAAGCGATCCCTTTCCTATCACAGTTAAAAATAAAATAAAATAAAATAAAAATGCATTTCTAGTAAATCTGAAGGCTTAGCTAGTGTATTTGGAATAAAAACAAAACTGCTATGATAGTTTTCCTTTGACTTTATGGCAGTATGAGAAGGATTAATGCACTGTATGAGCATACTGGATGATAATAAAATAGAAGAATTAAAATCACTTCAACACATTGTGTTGAAAAGATCAACCTTTGAAAATAAGTAAAAATTCAGTCTTAAGTATCGGAACGTATGAGTAACTTTTCCTAAGAAAAGCTACTTTTTAAAATGCTCATTATCAGGGTGTAATGGGAGCAAGCATTGCATTGCTAGAGATAACATGTACAGAGGGACAAGAAATTGAAAAGGTGGAGAAAGTCTACAGGAGGTTAAGGGCGGGGAAGATGATCCATCTATCATTTCTGCCACAATAAATCTTCCTTTTTTCAGAGAATAGTGTGACCCCAGAACAATGAGAACAAAATTGCTCTGCTATGCTATTTCCAGTGTCTTAGTATCACAATGGAAGTCTTACTGATCGTGAACAGATCATATTTTCTAAGTGTTTATTGTCACAGGAAACATGATTCCTGTGGTTTAGTACAGGGTGCGAACATTTCTATTTCTGGCAAATAGCAAATCTCTCAAACAAGGATTGTATTTAATATAAAACTCAACAATAAAATAAAAAAAATGAAATGAAAGATGCAAGATCATCTCTTTAGCCAATAGGTTTCTATTATTCATCACATCAGAAGGTAAGTCTTCTGTGTCATTTTTTCAAATAGCAACAACAGAAACTAAGAGCGAAGAAACACCCAGGCACTTCAGTTGATGTAACCATGAAGATGGCAGTGCGCTTTGAAAAATAGTATGCCATCTCAGTCTGGAGGTGACAGACTCTGAATGTGGAATGTATGAAAGAAAATGTGTTATGGTGATAGTACAGATGTGCATAAATGGCATGTATGGATTTGTGTTTCTCTGAAGAACAGTATAGAAAATGAAGCACAATTTCTTTTCAAAACATTATTTTCACAGAAAATCTAAGAAGCTGAGCGGCATCTTGTTTTGATAGGGAAAATACGTATACATGGCACATAGTATATTAGAAGTCATAAATACCATCACTGCTGATCGTAATTAGTATTGAAAGACACACACAGATCTAAAAACTTGCATTAATCTCCTTTTCTAAATGCTAGTAGTTGCTCTGTGCTTAATTAAGAGGTAGGATAATCTTGTCTTTATGGCTAGGCTGGAACTGAGTAGGTATTTGAGTCCTGATTCTGCCACATGCTTCCTTTATGATGTTAATCAGAATGCTTTTATCTCTATGTTTTATTTGAAAATTGGACATAACAGTTCTTTTGCTCACAAAAGCAAATATTATATCTTGTGCTAATTTTATAGTGAACATTTATGGAGTAAAGCAATTTTATTTCCACTGTACATGAAACTGGGGAGACAATGATTTTTGACTATTGGCCGATTTAAAAAAAAAAAAAAAAAAGGTTGGAAAAATAATATAAAAAAGTGTAAAAGCTCAGCAAACAGTTGAAAGAGAAGCCTGTTCAGAAAACTGATAAAAAAGATCATAGCAGAGAAGGCAAGAAAAGGCCAAATTGTTTACCTTTTGAAAAAGGTATCTTTACCTTGTCTTGATGTCCAAGATATTTCAGATTGCTCTTTAATTTGTAAAAAAGGGATAAGCAGATACAGTGAGTGAAAGCCAAAAATGGACCAATTCAGAGTGGAAATAAAGGGAATATTTTGAAAACACCAGAAGGGTAATCGTTACGGACAGATTAGAATTTCTATCAACTGTAATCTTTTAATGAAGGCTAAACAATTTTCTGAAAGATATTTTATAGCTCAGCAGAAGTGACAGACTTGATGCAAAAATTATTGGTCTGCATCACGAAGAAGGTCAGTCTAGACTGTCCCAATAGTTCATTCTGGCCTTACAATCCATAATTCTATGAATTAATGTTTGAGTCAGGCTGATACCATAATGATGGAGGCCATAGAAGCATGTAAGTTATGCTAACTTACTACAGTCTTGGAAACGGAAAGGCAGAGAGACCGCTTCCAGAAAGTTATCTATGAACAGATCATTGCAATATTTTTCACAAGTTAATTCTGTGAAGGGCATCTTATGTTCTGTAATGACAAGTTCTTGTGCATGACTGTGAATCCATCTGCTTTCTTCTGTGGGTTAGCTGATGAGAGAAAATTGGATTTGTTGGTACAGCGGGTTATGTCTTAGATGAGTGGTACAAAAATAGGTCACAAAACTGAGAACTAAGCTTGCTTTTTTTTTTTTTTTTTTTTTAATCCCCCCTGATTATTTATTTGCAAAGAATGAACTGCGTAAATTGCCTCCTCACAGATTTGGTCATGTTTACTAAATAATTTCAAAGGAAAGGAAAAAGTGTTGTCAGTGCTAGATGCCCTGGATGGAGATGTGGGAGAATGGCCTTTTTCGTAGTGTCCAGGAGCTCAGCTGTTAAAAGAATTCACCTGGAATATGGCAAGTCTGAGATCCTCCTGCCTGGAAGAATTTGAGTTCAAGTCTCTAACCTTCCAGGGAAATGACCTAACCAGCA